TGATGATTTTGGATGTCATAAAGAGTTGTTTACAATTTCACTTTCCTATTTTTTCTTGCTAGTATATAGAATTGATTTTGCTAATATCGAGCCTGTGTCCTACAACTTGCTAAGTCAACTTACTTGTTTTAGTAATTTTTTTATATATTCCATTGACTTAGATGTACACGATCATTCTGTATATAGTTTTACTTCTTCCAAATTTTTTGAGATAGTTTCCATAACATTTACTTTTTTAAAAATATTTATTTTTTGGTTAGACACAATACTTTTATTTTGTTTATTTATTTTTATGTGGTGTTGACGATTGAACCCAGGGCCTCACGCATGCTAGGCGAGTGCTCCACTGCTGAGCCACAACCCCAGCCCCAAATTTACTCTTAAAAGTATATAATTCAGTGACTTTTAGTATATTCACAATATTGTGCAATCATCACTATATAATTCCAGAATATTTCTATCACTCTAAATATAAACCCACTTATTAGCAGTCACTCCTATTTCCCCAGTCCCCAGCCCCTGAAAATCACCAGTCAACTTTCTTTGCCTTTGGATTTACCTATATTGGGTATTTCAAACAAATGCAATCATATGACTTTTACTTAGCATATAATGTTGCAGCATGGAACAGTACTTCATACCTTTTAATGGCTGAATACTATTCATGATATGGATATGCCACATTTTATTTATTCATTGGTTAGTTGATAGGCCTTTGTGCTGTTTCTACTGATTATCACAAATAATGCTATGAACATATAAATTTTTGAGTGAACATGTTTTTAAGTTCACAAGGGTATATATCAAGGAGTGAATTTTTGGGTCATATGGCAATGCTGTTTAATCTCTTAAAGAACTGCAAAACTATTCTCATAGATGTTGATTCATTCTACATTCCTACCACCAGGATATGAGGATTCCAATTTCTTCACATCCTTACTAATACTTGTTATTGTCTCTTTGATTATAGACAACATAGTAAAGTGATACCAATCCCCCCTCCCCCCAAGTGCCTTCTACATGCTAGGCAAGCACTCTATCACAAAGTCACATTCGCAAAGTAATTTTGAGATGGGGGTCTAGTTAGGCTGCCAAGGCTGTCCTTGAACTTGTGATCCTCCTGTCATAGCCTACTGATTTGCTGGGATCATAGGCATACATCAATGTGCCTGACCTTGTGATTCAAAACCTAAGGACTTAGTGCTGTTGAGTATATCTTCATGTGTCATTTATATATCTACTTTGTGGTGATATATATGGGATCAATGGTGTGCACCTAGTGTTCTTCGAAGTACAGAATTTTTTTGGACCAGGAGTTGAATCCAGGGGCGCTTAATCACTGAGCCACATCCCCCTTTTTTGAGACAGGGTCTCGCTAAGTTTCTTAGGGCCTCACCAAGTTCCTGAGGCTGTCTGAACTTGTGATCCTCCTGCCTCGGTCTCCCGCCTGAGTCACTGGACTTATAGGCATGTGCCACTGTGTCCAGCTGAAACACAAAATTTTTTAATTTTGATGAAGTGCAACTTATTTTTTCTCTTTGGTGGTTTTTGCTTTTAGGATCACATCTAAGAAACTCTTTGAGTAATTCAAGTCATGAAAATTTATGGCTATGTTTTTTTCTTCCTATGAATTTTATAGTTTTGGCTTTTGTTTGAATCTTTGATTCTTAAAAATATTTGTAAATGGTGTGAAGCAGGGTTCCAACTTTTGTCTTTTCCTTTTGGATATCCAGTTTCCCCAGCACCATTTGTTGGAGACTATACTTTCCCCTGTTGAACTGTCTCAGAACTTTTGTTCAAAGTCACTGAACATACACAGAAAATTTAATTCCTGTATTCTCAATTATATTTCATTGACTTATGCTTCTGTCTTTATGCCAGTATAGAACCATCAGTCATGATAGCTTTGTAGCAAATTTTGAAATCAGAAAGTGTTAAATCTTTCCAAACTTTTTCTTATTTTACTGCATAGATGAGGGCCCGCCAATATCCTTAGAAGTGGTGAGAACAGTTTTTTTTTTTTTTTTAAAGACATGCTCTTGCTATGTTGCCCAGGCTTGTCTCCAACCCATGGGCTCAAGTGATCCTCCTACCTCAGCCTCCTGTTGAGACTAAGGGTATACACCCCATACCTGGCTCAGAAGTATTTAATGTTGTTCCTGATCTCAGGAGAAAGGATTTGCTATTTCACCATTAAGTTTTTCAAAGATTTTCATTATCCGATAGAGAAAGTTTCCTTCTTGCAAATATTTTTTAGTGTTAATGGATTTTGAATTTTGTCAAATGCTTTTTCTGCATTTCAGACCATCATTTTGTTTACTCTCTGATTAATGTGGTAAATCAAGTTGATTTTTTCAATGTTAAAGTTCACTCTCCTTGGTCAGAGTTCCTTTGATGTTGTGAGGTTCAGTTCATGAGGGTCATTGGTCTGTAATTCTCTTGTAAAATGTTGTCAAATCTTGGTATTAGGATTATACTGGTCTCATGTGAGTTAAGGTGTTTCTTACTGTTCTGCTTTCTGAAACAGTATAGGATTGGTATTCTGTATTACTTAAATGTCTGGGGGGAAAATGGCTGAGGCTGATTGTGTTGGTGCATGCCTATAATCTCAGTGAATAGGAAAGCTGAGATAAGAGGGTGGGAAGTTTAAGGTCAGCCTCAGCAATTTAGGGATGACCTAAGCAACTTAGTGAGGCCCTGTCTCAAAAAATAAAAAGGGCTAGGAATGTAGCTCATTGGGTAAGTGTCCCTAGGTCAATCCCTATTACCAAAAAAAAAAAAAAAAAAAAAAAAAAGTGAAGACTCAGATTCCCACATTACCTACCTGCAGTAAGTTGACTCTCCTTTCTCTGGCACATCTTTTTGTAAAAATGATAAATTATTATTTAATAAACTCTTCAAACAAGGTAGAAAAGTCCAAAGATAAAAACTTGCATTTTTGACTGACATCCTTTCAGACTGCTGCCTCAGGTACCACTAGGGATTTAACAACCAATGAGTGCCCTACCACTAGCTATGTCCCCAGCTTTTTTATTGTGAGATACAGATTTGCCCAGGTTGGCCTTAGACAACTTGTGATCCTCCTAATAGTCCAAGTTGCTGGGATTACAGTATGCATGCATCATAATTTTCTTAATTAGTGTCCTAATGATGTTATTTATATTGCCCTTAGAGACATTTATCATTAAAAAAAGGTAGCAAAAATATCTCTGTGAATCTCTTCTTTTTCTTGGTGTAACTGCCTTATGAAATAAGACTTCTGGGGCAAAGGCAATGCATGTCAGTTTCGGTAAATAAGGCTGTAGCAATTTCATCTGTACATCAATAGTGTAGGATGGGAACTGTATTCCTACATATCAATAGCAAGAGCATGTCTTTAAAAAAAAAACAAAAAAACTGTTCTCACCACTTCTAAGGATATTGGAGGGCCCTCATCTATGCAGTAAAAAGAATCTCTTCTTTTTCTTGGTGTAACTGCCTTATGAAATAAGACTTCTGGGGCAAAGGCAATGCATGTCAGTTTCGGTAAATAAGGCTGTAGCAATTTCATCTGTACATCAATAGTGCAGGATAGGAACTGTATTCCTACTTATCAATACTGATAGGCCAAAAAAAAAAAAATCTATTTAGGGGCTGGGGATGTAGCTCATTGGCAGACCACTTGCATAGCCTGCATAAGGCCCTGATGGAGAAAAAAAAATGTTTGGAAGTTGGACATCTTTGATGACTGGATTTATTTATTTATTTATTTATTTTGGGCTTAAGAATGTCCTATTGCTATCTCTTGCCAATTTTTAAATTAGGGTTTTAAGTCTTTTTTTTTTTTTTCCTGGTACTCAGGATTAAACTCAGGAGTGTTCTATAACAGAGCTACACTGCCAGCAGGATACCCCTACCACCTTTTTAAATTTTGAGACAGAGTCTCCCTAAGTTGCAAAGCTGGCCTCTGTGTTCCTCTAGCTTCAGCCTCCTGATTCACTGAGATTGGGAGTGTGAAACACTGTACCTGGCTTTAAGTTTTAATTGATTTTCTACGAGCTCTTTCTATGTTTTTCTTTTTGGAAATGACAATTTATTTTCCCTTGGTTCACTGTTTTCAAATTTATAGATTACAATCTTCATGTACTTAAATTTATTTTTCATATTTTATAATTCTTGGTTTTTATTTCATACTTGGAGAAGGCCTAACCTCAAGATTACAAAAACATTCACCTTGATTTGCTTGTTTTTACAGTATTCTTTAAATCTTTGATTCATTAAGTATTTATTCTGGTGTAAGAAATTAGATACATGTAAAGGTTCTCTTCAATGCCTACTGTTTCTTGATTTCTTTTCTCACTGGCCCATGATTTGTAATGTATAGTTAACTGGTTACTATTAAGAGTTATGGAGTTGTCTGATTCCAACATTTATAAGTAATGGTTTTGATAATTGTATTTACCTTAAGAGTTGGGACTAAGAAATAACATCATCTGAAAAAGCACTGCAGCTCTTGATACATAAGTGCTCAGCACAATACATATACACCAATTTACTTCTGAATCCTCCTGTTCATGGATGTATCTTCCGTATCTCATTTATAAAATCCATCCATTAACACTGTCATTTCTCATGGTCACTTTTTTCTCGTTTCAACAAAAATGTCACATTTCAGTTGCCTTTCTAATCACAACTAGAACCTGAATATATTAATCTTGCAGGTAACAATTAGCTGTGCTTCACAACGTAGTGAGAACCAAAATCCAAACTCTAAGGCACCGAACAAGTGGGAAATAAAGGGTGCCTATTTCTTTCCCTATCTGTTTTGAAAGGATGGAAGAAGCCTGTCTTATTTCAGCTCTTGGGTTACAAACGGTATTCTCAAACGCTGGTACCCTCTCAACTTCCAACCCTAGTTTACAGCCTGAAGGTAAGTAGATCACTCTGGGGCAACTACTCTGAGATTCCGGGCAGGAGGTGAGGGGTTTGGGAGGATTCCCTCCCGGGTCTTTGGTCCTGACCTGAGAGTTCTCTCGAGGCCCGCTGGGCCCACTCCCAGCTCGAGGGTGATGCCCCACCGCAGATGTTGTGGGCAGACGACTTCTTGAGCTCGCAAACATGCACGCAGGCAGGACAGCAGGCGGGCTTGGCGGGCAGAGTGGCGGCAGGGCTCCCATCCCTGCCGTCAGGAAGCCCAGAAAGAGCGGGCAGAGTAACGAAAGGCGCGCGCGGAAGAACCACCCCAAAGACGCCGCAACGGGCGGACGCCAGGAGGCCCGGCTTCCCGCTCCAACGACGCGCGTCACTCTGGTTCCTAGAAACAAGCGCCCCGGCGCTTGGCCTGCCCTTCCCTTGGGCTCCGGAGAATTTCTGTGGCCACCCTAGCCCCACTCTGACCGCCGTTCCCGCTGCAGACAGCTCGGCTCCCGGGGCGGTTGGTCTGCCTCCTCCCTCTAACCGCTCCGGCCGTGGCGGGCGCGCGGCGTCGGTGACGTCGACGTAGGGGCGGGACTTCCGGCTTAGCCCGCCGCGGGGTCTCGGGACCGGGTCGGCGCCTTGGCGCTGGAGGGGCGTCTGGCGTCGGGCCGAGGCGGCGAGTTGGCCGCACCTCGGCGCCGGGTCTGGCCCGGCACCTTGAGGCACCCTGTCCACCGAGGAGGAGCGGGGGCTCTTCGCGGCCGCCCTCTCCGGTCTCGTGGCTCTACCGGGAGACCTCATATTTCCCCAGGGTCCCAAGCTTGACACTCCTTCTCGGTCCTCCTGCACCTTTTTTGCTGCCTGCGGCGTGAGCGGCCGCTGAGACTCGCCAGAGGTGGCGGGCGGGGCGGACACCCCTGCCGTAGGACTCTGTCCCTCAGCCTCAATGCCTCCGCGAACAAAGTTGAGTGGGTGTGGGTGGTTGGAGCTGTGGAGGTGTCCTCCGGGGGCGAGTGCGGCCAGAACACCCGTCACGGTTAAGTTTCCTGCGCGCACGTTGCAAGGACCGTGTGAGAGTATGGTACGTAAAGTCTCTTTCTAGGGACCGTGTCTCATTCATATTTTGGAATACTCTCCCCGTCCCCCGCCAGATTGCCCTTCATCTCCCTCCCTTTGTGTTACTTGGTTATAAAGTAATTGGACCGCGTGTTAGAAAAGCGAGACGTGTTCTGTAGCCAATTAAGTGCACACACAATTCTGGAGCTCTTTGATGCACTCCGTCATGGTCTGGCATCTTCAGTTTAATTTGTGATGAAAAAGCTATGGTACCATTTTTCTTGTCTTTGAAGACAGGGATGTCTGCGAGTGCTATTGAGGTAATGTCCAACATGTTAGTGTATTTTCGGCTCCAATGGATACTTTGATAAATCTTTATTTAGTGTCCAAGTTTTGACAGAATAAATGGACACTTTGCTCTTAAAAACATCCATTGATAAATACTTTAAAAGCTTTTGGTCATATTACGTGTAACGATTAAGCTATTTCAAATAATTTCAAAGAAGTCTAGGATAAGGAGAAACTTATTTTGAATTTTTCATATATGATACATTCATAATTTGTTCAGACTATGAGTGAGTACACAGTAATTTAGGCCTAAAACTGAGTAGGCTGTTAAAGTATTGCTTCTGTTACCAAGCAACAAAATTGTAAACAAATCTAATATTCAACTAGAACATATTAAATGTATCTTTCCTGCAATTATGTGGGTTCATAATTATTTAAATTCATGGGTTTAGCCTACATGGTTATGGTTAACAACTGACTTTTTGTATTCAGGTTTGATTTCAAACATTTTGTTTAGAATCATTAAAATGTTTTAAATTTCAGTGTTGCACAGGAGTCTTCTGAAAGTTGAAAGTGATTTTTATTTGCTCTTTGTTTATCATAGATTATTATGATGGGTATTCCTGTTATTTTGAATATTTTCTAGTTGAAGTGTGCTGACTATATTTAGGACTATTTTCAAATAACAGCCTGGAAGCAATTTAGAGTAACCTACAGCATTTGGGTGATTTAAATATTGATTATTTACAAGTACTTTTTAAGTCTTGATCTAGCATGTAACCTCACTCTCCACTCATTGAATCCCTAATTATATAATTTATATGACAAACTAAGTTCTCAGCAGGGTTTTTTTTTTTTTTTTGGGGGGGGGTACCAGGGATTGAACCCAGGGGTACTTAACCATTGAGCCACATCCCCAACTAGCCCTTTTTTATATTTTATTTAGAGACAGGGTCTTGGTAAATTGCTTAGAGCCTCATTGATTTCCTGTGGCAGCTTTGAATTCAGATCCTCCTGCCTCAGCCTCCTGACCTGCTGGGAGGATGCCTGCCTAACCAAGTTTTCAGAACTTTTTAAATGATCCTTTCAATGCAGTAGCCTTTCAAGTAAGTATGTGAGGAGATTTGAGATTGGGACAAATGCCCTTTTTGAAACTGAATTGTTACTAATGGGGAGTAGGAACTTCCAAGTGTACTTAATACTCTTGGTATGGCTAAAATCTATAGACTTCATTTTAATGTCCTCCCTACCTCCCATATGCTGATGTTGAAATAATATTCAGAAGTTAGGCAAGACAAAGAAGAAAAAAATCAAGAATAATTCATGTTGTGTAATAAAGTTATTAGTAATTAGAAATCAGAATTATGGAACTATGTCATTAGAAAGGTCTAATTCAAGAAGCTTAGAAGAATTAATTCTTCTTTTTTATACTGGACATTGAACCCAGGGCGCTTAACTGTTGAGCCATGTCCCCAGCCCTTTAAATTTTTTGTTTTGAGATGGGATCTTACTAAATTGTTTAGGGCCTTGCTAAGTTTTTGAGGCTGGTCTTGAACTTGTGATCTTCCTGAGCCACTGGGATTATAGATGTATGCCACCGAGCTGGGCCAGAAGAATGATTGTTAACAGATTAGTGAATTGTCAAAAATTTGACCCTCAGACACTGTCTCTTTTCATAAAGTAAATTAATTTGGTTTTAATGTTGTTATATGTAATGTATTAGGCTTAGTAAGTAATTTTCTTACCTTGTTTAACCTGTGTGTACTTCTAGAGAATGTGTATATATGTATCCATGTAAAAAGGTTTTACTAATTGAAATTCTTAGGTGAATTCTTAATTTTCTCACCTGTCATTCCAAGCTTATATTCTTGATTTCTTTCTTTCTTTCTTTCTTAAAATCTTAATTTCTATACGGTTCAATTCCATCATGACCTCCAAAATCTTATATTTTTTAGGTGGGGAGGGTTTACCACTGAGCAACATCCCTAGACTGTTTTTATATTTTAAGACAGGACCTTGCTAAGTTATTAAGGATGTCTTCAAACTTGTAATCCTTCTTCCTCAGCATCCTGAGTTTCTGAGTATGCTACCTGCCTGGCTGTAATACACATTTGTGAGTCATGCTTATTTGATACTTTGTTATATTACTTTGTCTTGCCTTCCTAACTAGATTCTGAGCTATTTAAGGGCAAAACACCAAATCTCAGTAAGCTATATCCTTAGTTTCTTCCAAATAGAGACTGCTGAATAAATGTTTCCCAAAGATGATGAATATGTATTTCTATGCTTACCCCATTCTATAGCATAGGGGAAGTGAGAACATTGTTTAGAGAGGGTAGTAACTGACTTATGAAAAACAACAGTAAGCTATAAGAAAGGGGATTAAAAAGTGGGGGTTTGTTGAAATCAAAGGGAAAGGCTCTGTTCCTAGAAAGTGTGCATATTTGAGAATTTCCCATGATAGTACCAGCAGGAGGGATTCCCTCAGGCATGCTGGCACTTCTCCCATGTGGGTTATCAAATTTGATCAATTTCCTTATTCTTCTTTAATTTGTTTTTTCCTTCAGCTTTCCTCTCGTACCCTCCTTCCATCCTCTTTCCCCATTTCCCTATTTTATTCCTTTCCATCCTAGTTTTTTTTTTTTTGAAGGGGGGATACTTGGGATTGAACCCAGGGGTGCTTAACAAATGAGCCACATCCCCAGACCCCTTCCCCGCTTTTTAAATTTTTTTTTTTTTTTAAGAGACAAGGTCTCACTAAGTTGCTGAGGCTGAATTTGATCTCAGAATCCTCATCCTCCTGAGCTGCTGTCCATCCTACTTTTTGACCTGGTCAAGACTAAACATTTGTTAGTACTTTCATCTGGCCCTCATAAATTAGCAGTTCTCTGAAATATATCTATATCTATCTCCATCTATCCATCCTCCATCAGTACTGCCCTCTGGTTCATGGAAAAAAATAGCTGTCAAGTCCAGTAATATTTCTTGTAAATTTGAGCTGTAATTCAGTATGAAAGAAATTAAAGTCCAGAATGTCCAGTTATTTGCTTTCTGTATATTGTGACTTTAAAGTGCTTTTGGATTAAATTCAAGGTTAGGAGTACCTAAACCTGCTTTTTTCATTTTGGAAAGAACTTGTCATCCTCAAAGTAGGTCTTTGAAATTTCCAGGTAATTTGTATAATCTTGCCATAAATCTGTATCTGATGCTTATATAACTTCGGTTGCAGATATAAAAAATTGAAATTGAGACTTAATATTTTAAAATCTTGGTTTGATTCAGTTTTTTTTTTTTTTTTGAGTTTGCCAGTCTAGTTTCTGAGTTGTTGCCCAGTAACACAATTGCAGTATACATAGCAACCATTGGAAACAGTGGCTCTGGGACTATGGGGTTTTTCCTTATGTTGTTGCAGTGCTTATCTCTAGTGTTCTTATTTAATCTTGTTACCTGAATCACATTTTGGTTTAAGCAGGTATTTTAGAGATTTTTAAAAAGCATAAAATATATGTTCTTAATATATGGAATGTTGACAAATGATAACTTTTTTAAAAAATTATTTTTTAGTTGTAGTTGGACACAATATCTTTATTTTTAATGTGGTGCTAAGGATTGAATCCAGGGCCTTGAACGTGCTCTACCACTGAGCCACTACCCCAGCCCCGACAAATGATAAATTTTTGCACATTGTTTTTCACAAAGAAATGTGTGATAAATATGTATTGAATTGAATTATAGTGTATGTGAAGGACATGTGAAAAGACTGTATCAACTAAAAATTATTCTATTCTGGGCAGAAAAACTGTTAAGTAAAAGTTAACATCACACTTCTCTACAACTGACATAGCCAGCTGGAATGGATGAAATTGAAATGAACTTTTTTGTGTTACTTCTGGAACTTCTGGAAAAGCTATATCAGTAAGCAAAATTGAATAGGCACTGGGATTTTGTGGGAAGAGAGTTGTGATTCAGGAGATGAAGCCTTGACTGGATGAGTCACTTAACCTTTCTTGGCCTATTTTTCCTATTTGAAAAAATAAAGAAATTGTATGCTTCCAATTATTTTAGTGCTTATTATATATTTTGCACTGTGCTGGGCACTGGGGGGATTGAGAGTAAGACTTAATGCTGTTTCAAATGCCTTCTCCACTGGGAGAAATGGATAAAGTAACTTGTAATAGAATGTGGTAAATGTTCTGAGGATAACTGAGAATATATTCTGGGTTAAGTAGGAAGGATACTTGACCTAGAATTGCAGCTGAGGAATGTTAATTAGAATTAGTACATATAATTTGAGCATATTTAGAGAAGTATTCAACCTGACCTGACAAGAATTAGGGAAAACTAGGGAGAGAAAATGTGTTGGAATTGGAGAGACAGAATCAGGAGTTATCAGCAACAGTCATAATTGAGATCCTAGATGTAGATGACATTCCTAGGGATAGTGTGTAAAATCAGAAAAGAGTGAGTATCAAGTTGTAATGGGTAGATGGAGAAAGAGTAAGGAGGAAAACCAAGGTCAGATCTTGGAAGCCAAGAGAAGTATGCATATTACATTTAGTTTATTGATTGAAATTGTTCAAGAAACTTTGTGTAGCACTATCAGTGTAAACATATCCATAGAAAAATCTTCTACAGAGATCTGAACTTGAAAATGAAGATAGATTAAGTCTTTGATTAGCGGTATAAAGGGAAAGAGTATGTACTTTGGAACCTAAATTTTGAAGTCAAAGACTAAAA